ATGGTTGGACTCCATGATCTTAAAGGTCTTTTCCAACCAAAAAATGGCAGAGGAGCTCGAGGTCTGGGAGAGACGCGCGTCCATTGTGGACACAGTCCTGAAGGATCTGAAGGGACGTCTGGAAACAGCCACTGCCGCAGGGAGGACAAGGGGCCGTGGGAAGAAGAAGAAAATTCTCCTTCCTCACAGTGCTCAAGAAGGTCAGTGCGTGGGGTAGGAAAACGTCTGTGGATCGAAGTGACCATCGCCTCCCCAGTGCTGCAGGCACTCGCGAGCGCTCGCTCTCTCCCGAAGTTACAAGAGAAATCTCTAAAACATGGCTTGTGAAACATCTTAGTCTCACAATTAGGCCTTTCAAAGTCAAGAGCAATAAAAACTTGTGACTCTCAGAGCTCTTAATTTTTCTTTTAATAAGCAAAAAGGGAGGTTAATGTGTTGGTAACCTTCCCTGGCTCACTCTGAGGCACAGCTCTGGATTTCTCCAGACGAATTCCAGTGACGTGGTTTGTGGGCAGCTGAGAGGGATTTAAAGGACGCACTCATCGTGCTGTGGGTGAGTCTCCATGGTCTCCCTGTGCAGGGATCAGTTACCCCCATTGAGGTACATCTTCAGGGAAAGAAACGCGTTACTGTTTGAACAAAACCCCAAATTCCTGCAGAGACCCCTGGCAAGATCTCACCGCCTTCAGATGTGGTGGGTGTACTTGTCAGGGGTTCGTGTTCTGTAGGAGAGGTAAAATTTAGCATTTCACACTGCAAAGAGAAGACTTTGAGTGTTTATAAATAATAATCTTCAAAAACATATCAAGAATAATCTTTTCGTGTTCAGACTTGCATTCTCTTTAGAAAAGATTTTTTTAAAATTTATCTTCATCCCAGTGACCTTTTCAGGTTTGTTCTCGGTAAGTTGGAGAGACACATCTTGAAAATGTCAGTATTTATAAAAACCTGGGTAACCGTGGCTCAGGTTGTTGCACAGCTCCATTTCTGTTTGCCAAGTCTACGTGCGCACCATTTCTGCGGGATGTTTATCACGTATTTCTACACAGTTCTCCCAGAGAAAGCAAAATGCGGGCATATGTGGATGATAGGCAGAAGGAATATATTTCTGTAGCTCACCAGTAAGAAATTACAACAGTATTAACATGACTCAGATTAAATAGAGTCAAATAAGTTAAATAAGTATAAGGCTGGACAAGTGGAAGATAGGAAATACAGCTTTGAACGAGGAGCGGTTGCTCTGCTTGGGTCCTTTAGGACCTGGTTCTTGTTGCTGCATTGCAATAAACTTTAGTCAGTGACCTTGGAATAAAACAGAAAATCCCAGTTTTCCCCTAACATTGACTAAAAGCAGTGATTAAAGTAACAGTCCAGTCAGAGCAACTTGGATTTCTTCTTGAGGTGGGCAGAACCAACACATACTGCAGTACGTGTGTAAAGTGATGTGTCTGAGAACAGGGTGTGTGGTCTGCGCCGTTTCCCTTACGATATCCCTGGAAATAATGACTTCAAAACCTGAATCATCGTGGGCAGCTGAGGGAAACTCCCTGCAGTGGGAGATGCCTGCAGCGCTGCCGATATCCTGGGCTCCAGGAGCCGACACCGTTCAGTGACACAAATACCTCAGCCCAGTGTTCCCGGGTCTCCCAGTGCAATATCTCAGTGTCTCATGTTCACAAACCAAGGAGGTTGTTCAGAGAGGAAATCTGAAAGTGATTAAAGATTGGGAAACACGAGGACCAGCTGTGAAGTGGGAGGTTTAGGAAATTAATTCTTCACTGGCTTACCTGGGGAAGAGGCTTCGGTTGTGGTTCGAGGAAGTTTCGTGGGTTGTTTTATGCAGGAAGTCAGACTGTGACCCCAAAAGTACTGTTGTGGTAACTTGGCTTTTGAATCCACGGGGTGCCAAAAAGAACCAAATAATTGGTCACTTGATTCTTGTCATCTGTTGTTAGATTTCAGTGTATGAGTTCATTGGATTTGGCAGGACTCGCTCTTTAAATTGTGCCTAATCCTCTCTGATGAATTCTCCATTAACGCTGCTCTCTAAATTTGTAACTGATATATTAGAGAGATTGTAACGCAAAGAGAGTTCACTGTTATTACAGCTGTAATTAAGTTACAGATTGTCTCATATTCAGACCCTTGCACGTGTTTGGATGTCACTGATGAAGAATTGACCTCCCTGTTTCTGTGCTGTGTTCTCCAGTGAACGTCAGATGGGAAAAAATCTCCTCTCCAGTGTAGAGGGGAACATAAATTAAGTCCACGGAGCCATCTTTTATTACTCACCATAACCAGAGCTGTAAAACCTCTACAAGAGCTGATACCACAACAAGCTTTTGTTATTTATGACTTTGCTCTTGTATCCAGTGATTTATTCCATGTTGTGGGTTTCTTCATCGTGGCCTTCAACTTTCTGTGCTCTGCCACAATCCGTGACAATCTCCCTTGGTATCAACTGCTTCCTGTGAGGTTGTGGTGCTTCCTGAGGGCATCCTCTGCTTTGCACCACTGTTCAGTTATACCAGATTGATTCATTTATGTTGGCAGTGTACTTATGACAATCCCAATAAATACATTGCAGCAAAATAGTTTTGACTTATAACGGCAGCGCGGTGTTGAAGAGTTCATTGGAAGTTTTGAGAAGTCTCTACCACTGGAAGCCTTGAAGATCAGGCTGTATGAAGTAGGTGTTGTTGACCCCAGCTGGGGCAGAGGAATGGAAATAGCCTTCAATAAGGTCCTTTCCAGGTATCTGTGGTAGATTTTTTAATTCCCTGTTTCTTGTACGGTACAATCAGGAAAATAAGAGGGGAAAAGGAAATGCTAAATTTCCATCTTAGACATAAATTAAATTTCCGTCGTAATGAGCTGAGCTGGGCTTCCAGCCCTGGAGTGGGTTAAAGAAGAGGAGGAAATCTTGGAGTCACAAAAGCAGGTGGGATGGAAGGGACCTGTGGGGGTTTCGAGTCTTAACGCCATGCTCAGAGCGGGTCTGGACAGGGTGCACAGGACCTCGTCCAGTCCCTTTCTGTGCATCTCTGTCCCTGGGGATCCAGCAGCGTCTCCTGGCCCATGTTCCAGAGTTGGTCCACAATCGTGATAAAAGGCATCAACTCACGTTCAGTGAGGATTTCCCATGCTCTGCCTCATGTCCGTCGCTTTCCACTGGGCACCTCTCAGAGGAGTGGCTCTGTCTTCTCTCTTCCCGTAGGCATTGCAGGCAGTGAGGCTTCTCCTTTGCCTTTTCTCCTCTCCTGATCATCTTGGCAGCCTTCCACTGGATGTGTCTATGTAGATCTTGTACTGGGGAGCCCAAAACTGGGCAGAGTACTTCAGATCTGGTCTTACAAGTGCTGAATAGAGGAGGAAGACTCCCTCCCCTACACACTCTCCGATACAGCTGAGGATGCTGTTGGTCTTGCTGCAGGGCAGTGCTGCTGGCTCCTCCTCAGCTTTGTTGTTTACCAGGACTCCCAGGTTTTTATCTTTTATCTGCTTTCCAGACAGCCGGTGCCCAGCCCATGTCATTGCAGGGAATTCCTCTGTCCCTGGGGCAGGACTTTGCATTTGCCTTGGCTGAACTTGGGGAGATGCCCGTCAGCCCATTTTCCAGCCTTGGTAAGTCCTTTGGAACAGCAGCCTGCAGCGTTTCGGCTGCTCCAGACGATTTGGTACCAGCCACAGACTTGCTGAGAGCGCAGTCCCTCCCTCTAATCTGTGAAGCCCTTCAGCATTCTGTAGATGATCGGGTTGGTCAGGAAATGTCACCCTTGGTACGTCCTTGGCTGTTCCCAGTCACCTCCTTCATGTGGCAGAAGAGGATTTGCTCCATCACCTTTTTGGGATGGAGTTGCAGTTGAGTGGCCTGTGGTTGGGTGGGTGCTGCTCCTGGCAGAAACCTTTGCTCAAGCTGTGTTCCTGGGCTCGTATCACGCCAGATGTTTAAAGGTAATAGGTGTTACATGGGTTATAACCAGCACTTTGTCTCCTCTCAGGTACGCACAGCCATGCACTGGGGTGGATGAGCCCACTGCCATCATCCAAAAGAGTTCACTGCCTGAGGAGGGGCGTAGTGAAGCCCATTTGCCTTCTCCTTTGGGCGTTTGCAGAGCTCTGTGTCTTGATGTTCACTCTGAAATGAGTCTGTCCCAATTTTGTCTGAAAAGTACATAGATTTTCTGCACCCAGCATGCGAAAACATTTTAAATCCTTAAACCCCCTTGAACCTAATGAATATCCAAAGCTCTGTCTGCCCATCTGTTTGAGAGTGTTGTGCTGGTGCCTGTTATGGTAGCGTAGGAGCATTTCTTGAGCATAAACAGCTCCCAGTAGTGACTTCTCATTTGGACCTGTTGGAGCTTAAGGTTTTCTTCCAGTTTCAGAGGAAAAACCACATTTTTTTGTTTAACCTTTTAGTTTACATTGGTTCACCAGGTTGGTTTGTTGATGGCTTTAGGCCTTTGGATCTCATTTTGGCTTAGAGTTTATAGTGGTATTGGAGGACAGAGAGGCTCCTCAATGTTCCTAGGTTGTGAAGGAGATCTGAGTGCATCTTTACTGGCTGTGGAGTTCAGTGCAGCGATCATAATAATATAATATATAAATGCCTTAGTACCTGCTCGTTCATAGATGAGGGTGAGGAGTGTTCACATTTACACAGTTATAAATTGGTTCTGTAAATACAAGAAGGCTTCTGAGAAGCTGCGAGAATGAGAAGGAAGAGCCTTGAAACAGCCGCAGTGGATTTGATTTTAGCTTTTTGCTAATATTGCACAGCGTTGAAAATTCAGTCTGGAAAAGCACAGAAAGCATGTTAGAGAAATGAATAAAAGATAAACACTGGAAACGACACAAGTAGCCACAGCCTGCAATAGTATCCTATATTCTTAGTTTTAAGTATATTCTTTAGTCTGTTCACAGCCAAGAGAAGGAATCTCACTGCAATAAAGTTACATTTTCGGTAATGCCCCAGGTCCCAGGCAGAGGCACCCTGAGGTGCAGAGAATCAGTGCTTAAGATTTTAATTATGGTCGACCTCTGCCATTGCAAAAATCCGTAAGAAAACTGCATGACTGACTTGTGAAATTGTTCAGTCGTGGTGATGGGCCCCAAGCAGGACCGTGGTGATTTTTGTGGATCGATTCTGGATGTTTTGGATACACGGGCACCATCTTTTGGAGCTTCAGCACAGGGGCACTCCTGCTCCGTGTCCAGTCCCGTCTGTACTTTACACGCTCTTGTTTTAAATCTTGTAACCAGGTGTCCCGTCCAGAGGTCCCTGAGGGAGTTTCTGCCCCAGAAGAAGTTCCCTCCCTGCCCTCGGAAGAACGTGGTTTAAAAACATCTCGGGACGTGTTTGGTTTAGATTTCAGCATGACAGCAGTTAAACAAGCACCCACAGCAGGCTCAGAGGTAAACAAAGAAACAAAGAAACTGAAAAAGGCTGCAAAAATGCAAATTAAATTTATTCCAGGAGAGAGAAATAAATTCCAGCCATGTACGTACTACTTCTCCTCCACTCTTTTTTTTCCTCTCCTTGAAATTTATCTTGATTCAGCTTAAACTGTAATCTAAGAACCATTTAAGCTTTGAGTCTGCACATGCAAGTTCTAAATTGCATACAGAAAACCAGTATTGACCCCTGAGTGGAAACTGCTCATTTGATTTAATTTTACTTTTGCATTGATTCAACTTGAATTATTAAAGACTTCAAGTGAAGCTGAACGTATTCCTGATGAGGTTAAAATTTGAATCAATGACTTTAGGTAGGGGCTTGCACAGATTTAACTAAGTTTATTTTAAAGTATGTGGGATCAGCCCCAGAGATGATGCTCAGGGCTGTAATCTCAGCTGCTGGAATGATTTCGGGGTGCTCCGGCACAGGGAGGAGCAATGCCAATGCACAGCTTTGCAAGTCAAATCAGAGCCCTTGATGAGCATCACAGGACAGACTCAATTTGTGCTGTCTAGACAGGGCACTGAGCGAGTTTTGAGAAAAAAGGCTTCTGAAATCCTTGTATTTTGAAGATGATGGCTCGAATCGTGCCGGCAGTGGGGAAAGGGGTGCTGGAAGGGAAGCAAAGGTGAGTGATGAGATCTGCTTTGGAGAGCAAAGGTTCCAGCTTGAAAAGAGCCTCAGATTGCAAATCTCATTAACCCTAAATAGAGAAAGCACTTCAACAGATGAAAACAAGGCCGTGCATCTCCCAAGAGTGGTGCCAGCCCGCATCACCAGAGGTGTTGGGGCTGAATCCGAAATTCTCTTTGTCAGGCACTGCTAATACAGTAAGGAGATCACACTGAGAGATAAGTGTGGGATCTAGGGCTGACAGATGCATTCAGACCAGTGGGGCATTGCAGTCTGGGATTTTTAGCATTCTGGTATGCACTGGGAGCGAGCAGGACGGTGGCCCTTTGGACTCACAGCACCATCTGGAGCTGCAGAAACCCCTCCTGAAATGACAGTGGTTGCAAATCAAAAGTACAGCTTTGCACAGGTTATCTCACCTGCCAGACTCAAGTTATGTTTGCACAGCGCTGGTTTTGGGTAGCAGTTGTTGTTACACCGGGAGGACTTCACCAGTAGGTGTACTGGTGTGCCTTTACCATGAAGCATAGCCAGCACGGGCCTGGCTCTGCGGTGCGATGGCTCTGTTTGTCACTGCAATCCCCAGTGCAATTCTCACGTTACTATCTGGAATATTTACATGGAGGTACATCAGGGTAGGGTTGCCATCGTCTGAAGAGCCATGAGGGTGTGGGAGGAAGCGCCTGGTGCACAGCAGGACTGGAAAAGCTTCTGCTCACCCCTGTGAAGACGCCCATCTCAGCTGCCTCTGCACAGACACGTGGCTGAGGAGCAGGAGGAGATAGAAACTGGGACCCTGCTGGCCGTGGTGAGACAGCTCACACCACCAGAAAGACGGGCTGGGGGTGAGGAGAAGGGTGTGCTCCATGGGATGGGGTGCCCGGAGCTTCGCCTTGGGATGGGTGCTGAGCCAGCTGGGTGCTGACAGGGAAGGATCAAAGGACAGACAACAACGTGGATGGCACAGGCAAGGTTTTAGCTTCAATGAAACCGTGAGCAGCCAGAGGAGAGTGCTGACTTTGAGCAACGTAGAATATGGCCAAGGCTAAACCGAGCCTCATGGGACTGCAAAGGGACAGTGGTCCTATGGCCACAGGACTTTGGGACTTGGCGAGGTGAAACACTGGGAGGAAAGAGCAGAAGAAAAGTGTCCAGAGAGACCTCTTGACAGACTCACAGTTTGAAATGTATCTGTGTTATTGGCAGCTCTTAAGCAGAAATCCGCACGTCTCCATATCGGATTCAGAACCCTAGCAGCTGGATTTAAAATGCAGAAAGTACCAGAATAACCTTACAATTTTAGGCAGCTGAAAGGTGTCCTGCAGACTGTGCACATGCTGTTACGCTACTGTAGTGTTCTTGATGATCTCAGACAATTAATACCATTTCTGTGAGCCTCTTTTCCAGCTGTAAAACGAGGATGGCCAACACATTCCTGTGTCACGAGCAGGATGCGGCACGGTTGGTTAGACTGTGCTTGTAAATGGAATTTAGGATCAATGTGTTGTATTGCAAAACAAAGATGTGATTTCACATTTGGCCTTCGCTGATTTATTTCTCTGAGAGCAGCAGTTCCTGGCTGTAACCTTACAGTGTTGTGAGCAGGGAGGTTCTCACCATGTGTTTGATCCTTGGACTTCTTGTCTGAGGCAGTTCTAATACACTGCCACTGGTCACAGCCCTGTACCTGAGCAGGTGATGGGGTACAAATGTGTGGACCATCGGGAGAATTTGTAGGAAAGCTGTGAGAGCACTCAGCAAACATTGTAAAACTGTAAGAGCTGGAGATGCCTGGTGAAGGGAGATGAGAGGTGAAGCATGCATTTGAAATGCAGGAGCACAGTGACTGTGGAGAGGAGGGAAGGAAGCTCCTTTCTGTGCTTCTTTAAGTAGGACAAGTTTTGTGATTAATGTTTAATTTGCAGCAAGGAAGGAGTAGCTTGGACAGGAAGAAACGTGGTGCTCTTCTTTCTGCCTACACAGTTATCTGCAGTAGAGTGACCATGTGTTGAAAATTGGGGTTTCTGTGCTCTCTCAGGGGGTTGCAATCCAGTGGCTGCAGCCCCGCAGTGCTCAATACTGGCCTTTCAGGTCTTGGACAGCTTTGCTCTGTTGTAGACACAGATTCTTGTCCTTTGCATGGGCTGACCTTGGTGTTTTGTCAGATTGGATTTGACTTTGTGCATGAGTACAAGGGATGAAACTTTGCTCAGGAGTGGGGAAGACACAGATACATATATACCTGCATAAAAGAAGTTCAGATTCAGTTCTTCTGGTAGGTTATAAATCACAGAATCATAGAA